TAAAAAATTGTCTTTGCGTACGCAACAAACTGAACAAACAAGTTTAAATCGTGTCAAGGCATTTTGCCATTGAAAATGAAACCACTTTTTTCGCAATTTGGATTTCGTGTTAGAAACTCATCCATTCGGTCAAAGTTCCATCTGGAACATGGATGAGACTGGCTTTTCAACAGTTCCAAGCCGCATGGGAAAAATTATTTCGTTAAAAGGGGGGGGGGGTCAAGCGTGTGGGACAGATCTGCCGAATGGCAGTTTAATAACACTGGCATTCGCTGTTAATGCGATCGAAAATTCACTGCCTTTTTTCTGTCCTTCTTTTACTTATTTCCAAGGAAAAAAATGAACCCGCTCTACTTAACACATGCATCGAAGGAAACAGTCGGCTTTGCAAATGAATTGGGATAGATGCAGCAAAGTGAATTCATTAAATATATGCATAAATATATATCATTTTGTCAAATATAGTCATTCATCGAAAAGTTCACCAACTGCTCCTTCTTAACAATCATACTTCTCACTTGTCAGTGGAAGCAATCGATTTGGCAGTTGAAAACGGTGTGACCATGCTCTCGTTTCTGCCGCATTGCAGCCATCGGTTGCAGCCGCTCGATGTTTCGGTGTATGAGTCTGTGAAAGGGTCTTACAACAAACTACACAATGCATGGATCAGAGAAAATGCTGGTAAAGCACTCGCTATTGCTCACATTCCCATGCTCAACAGCTTTGTTAAGAGGAGCAACACCAGAAAATATTGTGGCCGGATTCAAAGCCACTGGAATCTGTTCATATGATTCTATATTTTCAATGATTCGCATTTCATTAGTCTTGGCGTAAGCGAAGAAAATGCAGCGGCTTTCACTATTGAAACGGAATATAATGAAGGGGAACAGCGCATTATTGTGGATAGTGCACACATTGAAATAGCTGCTCACGTCTCAACATCAGAATCATCAATATCTGGCATGTCTTGTAGCGATAAGAACGACAACAAAAGCGAATAACTGCGAAAAATAAGAAGGAAGCGCTGAACAAAAGGTAACACCGAAAAAAACGCATAATGATTGTATGATTTGCTCAAAAAAATGTCTGAAACTCACCAAAAATAACTCCATAAAGTGCCATACATGCAATATAGTCGTTCACGCAAAATGTGCCGATATATGTTACACATGCCCAAATTGTGATTCCGATATGGACTAATATCAATATGATATCATTTCATTAAAATTTTCCTCTAATATCAATATGATGTCATTTCATTTCAATTTTTCCTCTTTTCATTCAAATTTTCATTGTTTTATGATTCAAATCAACTGAAACCAATTAATAAATTGAAGAAATTTCATAAATTTTGTAGACATTGTATTTTTACTTGAGTTTTTGTGCATTTTTAGCATTTTTGGGAGAGGAGGGGGTGTCCAACCTACATTAAAAATTTTGAGGGGGGTCGTTTTTGAGTCTTTTTTTGAATTGGCTATAAAAAAAAATCCACTAAACCCAATGATTTTTTTGTCCACAATGTAGCTATTCATCTCAGACAGTATCTTGATATCAATGTTGATTCTCATCTGAATTATGAGCAAAAATGCTAAGGGTTCAACCTACAAAGATTCCCCTACAAATTGCTAACATATCAAGCAATATTACAGCAAATTTGTAATATTACTGCACGATTACTACAATATTACATATTGTATGGATAAGAGTTACAGAATAGACCTGGTGTCTCCTGTATGAAATAAGAGGTTACTTTGTATATATAACTGGGATTACTTTTGTATATATAACAGCTGACTGTTTAAACATGGCGACCACATTAGTAGATTATTTCTCTCAATGGACTCCCTCCCAATTCAGCATCCAAACCGGTTCCACTTTTTCTTCGCGCGCTATCAAGTTGAGTCTCCTTATCTTTTACTTCGAGGTATACACACACGCATACATGCACGCACGCACGCACGCACGCACGCACGCACGCACGCACGCACGCACGCACGCACGCACACACACACACACACACATATACCATTAAGACATAATACATAAGAAAATCGATTAATTAGAGTCCTTGATCATTTTTACCTTGGAAATAAAAATGAAGAATTTCCATGTTAAATCCCCAGGGCTGTCGATTGCGTTTTGTATTTTGCAAAAGGAAAGCAACCTTTGATGAGTGATTCTTTTCCTATTATGAGATTTTATTATCCACCAATATTATTTATTTGAAAATATGAGAAAATGGGGAAAGTATTCACGGAAGTATAAAGATAGTTGAGAAAAAGAAAATAAATTAAAAGGTAAATTTTAACATAACACCTTCGTTTGTTTTTTATGAGTAATCCCCTTATTAGTTTGACATATCTATGAAAAAATAGATAGGTTTAAATCAAAACATAAAAGGTTGAACAACGAGCCATATACAAATACAAAAGACTATTTAATAATATAAGATTACAAACATTTCGACTCCGATCGAATTATTTTCAATGTTAGAAATCAAATTTAAACTCACAAAATAATAACATCGGAATAATTAAATCTTAACAAATAACAACGTCTGAATATATAATCATAAAGAATACAAAAATATTGGTAACTTTTTCTTCCATAAATGATGTCAAAAATTGCATAACCAAATCCGGATATAAGTTCATCTCTATAAAAATTATCATGTCTATAAATAATTAACATTACAGTTAATATAAAATCCTTGATACTTATTGTACAAAACTTATAGTTCTAAATACTTTGTTATATAAAGTTGTAAGTTCAATTATTAAAGAAAATTCATTATGTAGAATAATCCGCCAATTTACATCGTTGTTAAAAGATCAGAGCAATAATGCAGACAACGTTATAAAAGACTCTGACGATATCCAGCAGTATAATAATCACAGACAACCAGGAGACAAGCATGAGTAAAGACTGGAAGGGGACAAACAAAGAAATTAAGAATGGAAAGAGTTCGTATAATTTTGGAATATGATTCAGGCAGTGATTCCGTACCATTCTATTTGTTAATCCCATGTTTTTATCTTTTTATGTTACTATTTCTGATATCAATCTCTTATTAAGAGAGCTCTATATCCAAAATCCTTAATATTATCCCAATCAAACATTAGTTATTCTTTATACGGTTATTCTTTATACAGTGGTTAGAATCATTGATAGGGATTTGTTCCTGTTATCGATATTGAAAATGTGTTCATGCATTCTCGTTTTTAATTGTTTCATTGTCTGTTCAACATATTGATCGCAATCACAACACGAGATTTTATAGACAACATTCTAATTTTGTGATCAATTGGTCTTTCCCTTTTTTTATTAAATTCTTTAATATATTCAAAATTGTGTAAGCTAATTTACAATTAAACATATTCGCAATTGGCGTAAATTTTTCAAAAACAGTATTAACAAAAGAAACTATAAAAAATTTGTCTTTTATTTTATTATTGGTATTATTGTAGTTATTAATATAAAATTTAATCCATTTTTTAATAGTCGAAAAAATAAATTGTATTGGATATTCATTGTTTAAAAAATTTTTTATAGAATTAATCAAATTATTTTATTGGAAACGAAGGTGACTTAATAAAAGATTTTGTCCACAACACCATATATCCTTCTCTTATGACACACTAGGTGATGTGAGTAATATTTAAGGAATCTACCGAAAAAGATTGCTTTGCGATATCCGATCTTCATATATAATTAGTAAAGTATACAAAAAATTCAGTTTTCTGTCTATACCCTGTCTATTCCATGATAAATTGCAATCTAGCGTGTAAGGAGTTAAACACATTCAAACAATCATGAATATTTTCAGACGGAGCAGCCAAAATAATATCATCTACGTATCGGAAATAAAATAATAATCGTGCGGGCAACATACTAATCACTTTTTTTTCGAAGTCTTGCATAACTATATCTGCTAGAATTGGAGATAAGGGTGATCCCATAGGAATACCAAATATTTGTTTGTAGAATTTATTGTTAAACATTAAAAAAGTGGAATTTAATTGAATCTTAAATTTTTCTAAATTCTTCTAAAGACATTTTCGTTTTTGACGAGATATATTTCCACTCTTTTTTACATTATCAAATACTAAATCTACAGGTACATTGATAAAAATAGAAATCACATCAAAAGAGATTAAAATATAATCAGGATCAAAACAAATATTTCTTAATTTATCAATAACAGATCACAGCTATCTTGATATGATTTGGAATTTCAGATATAGAATCATTAATAATGTGCAAAAACAGCGAAATATTATATAAAGAGCTGTTAATGAAACAATAATTCTAAGTAGGTTTCCCTCTTTATGGATTTTTGTAATCCATAAGCTCTGAAGGAGTGTTCAATTTTTTTTCACTAAACATCAAAAGTGGCTTAGTAAAAATCCAAAATTTGAAACAATTTTCAATAATTTCTTTTCTTCATTATGATTTTCTTTGATTCATAAGGAAATATACATATAATATAAAATTTTGTATTTTATTTTGTTTCTTATACCGTTTTCTAGGGTATATGGGATATGCTGTAGAAGTAGTAATGTTGTTTTAAGAGACCGCGCCTAGATGGGGTATCTTTGAATAATTGGTCCTCACAGGATGCCCAGCCCTCATGACTCCGCGTATTATATCTGGGCAACCGCCTGTGGCTAAATTGTGTGAGGATTTGCCTAAATATGTCTAAAAATAGTGGAGAATAGACTATTGCATGCGAGATTGCAACAACCAATACGGATACAGTATTGCGACGCAGAAAGCAAAAGGAAACTACTGCGCTATCTTTCCCAAGAGATCATGTTGTCTCATAGGAATATAATGATGCCTGGCGAGTGGCAATCGGCGCTGTTCTGCAGACAATGGGAAATTGACTACTGGACATGCGAATGCGGATCATTGGGCATCGCATGCGAAATCAATGATGAAAATGGAGATGGAGATGAAAAGGATGCCTTTGTCGGTAGAATTATATAACTATATAACGAATGGGGAATCGTAGAATGTCCATGGTTTGCGACAAGCAAATAAGCTCTTGCTTTTGTGTAATGAGAAACAACATCATGGTAGCCGAAATAGGGGAGACGTACTGGCGTGGGTATAGACATTTCAGGTATGCGGACATCTATTTTTCTAATCCTTATGAGAGCAGTCGCACATGACAATACACTGCATAGCAGGTTGAGAAGGTCGGTTCTGGGTTATCAGACTATTACTATTATACTTATCAGTGATAATTTTAATACTATTCAGATCGAACCCTGTTACTGTGAATGTTATCCAGGTTAACGCATCGACATTGGCTGCTCCGGATGGAGAGGTCGATGGTTTCTATATACTAGTGAAAGAAATATGGAGAAGAATACGCAGGCATGAATGCATGATCATTATGAGCGATTTCAACGCTAAGATTGGACAAACAACTATTGATATCTGTATATGTAACATTGCATATGGCATAGAAGTGCGTAATGAACGGATCGAGAGATTGTCGCAGTTTTGCATCGACAATGATCTGGTCATTGCAAACAGCCTGTTTCAGCACTATATACGTTGACTGTACACGTGGACTTCTCCGGATAGTAACACGAAAAAAGGTCAGCTATTCGTGCAGAGTTGTGGAGAGATGGTCTTCTGGGTACAAATATCAAAATAACGATTAGAGCCGTGGAGAAGATGAAATCCGGTGAAATGATCCAGAACGAAGGTCGAGGAGGCCGTACGTATTTTCGAGCAGCATCGGGACTAAATTCTGATTGGCAATCATGATTACTATGCATCTGACAAAATATTAAAACTACATGGATGGTTTTCAATGCTTCATTTTTAAAAAATGGCGTATTTATCATATTTTGTAATTTTGAGCGACTTGAGCGCACTCTGTATGCGATTTTATGTATTATATATTTGACAATCCTGATTGTGCACTATCCCACACCAAACGTTAATAATTTCTTAATTTTATAATATTTCATAATTTTTGTTGGTTAACTTATCTTAATCAGGATTGTCAATAGACTAGATGATTACTTCTTAAATTCACTTAGTTGTGATTTGTAAAAATGGCTTCATCAGTAAATAACACATTGGTCAAAAAAAATTATTATTTTGCATTATATTTATTCTAATATCCACTGACAAAATTGAATGCGATTTTGGAAATCATCGCCATGAAAATATTGATGTATAAATATGTGGTAAGGATAAGATATGTGGAATCTATTCTGGTGAAAAAGTATTTGTAAAATACTTTTTCTATTGACATTGTTTTTCTCTCTCAATCATATTCAATTATGTAAAGAAGACCTTTATTGTATCATAATGGATCTTGTTGCCCAACAGTATTTTTATATTTTGTCATGCACTTACATATAAATTTACATGTACTGCTGATAAAATAGCAATTTCATTAATTCATTTCATACCTTTTTGCTTAATTTATTTTAAACTCGATGCTACCAGTTTCTTTAAAAATTTTTTTCACGTATGAAATGATGTCAAGCTGGTATCAAGAACTTTTCAAAACATTACAATAAAGTTATTTTTCATAAAGTTTCGAGTTATGAGAATTGAAAGTCACAGTATCGCATTAACACGTAATTACGCAAAGTGTTCGACCGATGACTAAAATCTCTTGAATGTTTTCAGAATTATGTCCTAACATTTGTTAAGGTCAAAGTTATTGAAGATTATACCTGTTATTTTCATTTTTACAAATGAATTCTTAGTGCAAAAATGAAAATGAAACAGGTACAACCTCCAATAGAATTTAACAAATGTTATCCAAGACAAGAGGTTTTAGTCATTGATCGGACATCTTACGTAATACTAATGCCGGTAGTACTGTAACTTTCAAGCTTTATAACTTGAAAAATACTTAGTGAAAAATAACTTTATTATAGTATTTTGATACTAGCTATTAGATTCATTAAAAATAGGATATACAATTTTTAAAAATCGATTTAACCTTGACTTGATCTCGATGACGCTAATCAAAGTCAAGCGGATGTAAGTAGATATTTTTAAACCTACAACTTTTGTCTAAAATTTTCGTTGATTTCGAAATCAACCGTCTCTAGATTTGTACTTTCAATACACTCTTATAAATTCACATAGAAATTATTTAAAGCATCTATGATCTAGATTCAACCGTCATAAGTATTAAACTCTTACTTGTAGTATATTCACATATATGGTTTTAAGGGGATGCCGGAGTGCCCTGTTTTATTAACGAAATGTGATTAATTTTCCCCGGCTCGTTTTTCTTAATTGCACTTATGGATTGAAAAGTCCTTCTTTACAATTAAAGTATCGACAACAATGCTGCCAGTTACAATTTAATACGAAAAACGAAAGAAAATTAAAAATTGTAGTTTTATCATCGGTTCCTGCAATTGACTCGTCGCAATATGTGTTGTATATAAGAGTTTCAGATTTTACCCGTTAAAATAAATAGTCAGCAGCCTACAGAAAACCTCGAAGAACATTATGTGTTTGTTCTACTGCCTGTAGAAATGAGCTAGGAGTTTTAGTATAAGAGAACAGAGTCGCCAAAAATTTGTATGTTACAAATAAAATTGACATGAAGCCACCCAACACTATTTTAGTTAAGTAAGTTCCTCGATATTGCGACAGCAGCGCTGTCATCAAGTATGCCTCAGCAGAAACGATCAGAATTATCAATTTACTCAAACCCATAACAAGCTTCTTACGTGTTCTGGTCAAAATTTTTTTTCTTGAGAGAAAAAATAATAATAAAACAAATATGATATTAGTTATTTCAATTTTTATGTACAAATAATATCTTTATAAACAAGAAATATACAATATTATTCATATATATTATATCATTGTCAGTTGATTTTCAACTCTGCCCGAAGCATTGAGTAGTAATTTCACTCGTAGAATATAAATGAAATTTTCGTAGACTCCGTTCTCTTATACTAAACCCTTAGCTCTACAAACATTATTCTTTGAGATTTTCTGTAGGGCGCCAGCTACTTATTTCAAACGTACAAAATCTGGAATTGTTACATACAGCATTTTTTACTTGGTTCGGATGTCAAAGCGTCAAACAGCACTTAATAGGAAACGTTATTTCTCTCATCGCCCACGCGCAAATATAGAAATAGATTGAATCATTATGTAAACCAGCAATATATTATTAGCTGGAAACGTCATATATTATGTATATATGACAATAATTTTAACATATTTTTCTATATACAATATAAAAAAATATATATTAAAATAAAATCGTTGCTTAGAAAAAGTCATGCATTTTTGCTACATCGGCGATGCAATTGAATTGCAGAATGAATTATCGAAACAGAAGTATGACAGAGTGAGACAGAGAAAAACAAAAAAGGATAAAAGCCGATTGTAATCGGTGAGTAAGTATACTAGGCGGGTTCTAACCCATGGGACTTGAGAGGGGAACGCGGGGCGCGGGGGGGTATTCGTTGGCGCGGGGGAAGGCGCGGGGGGTACTCATAGGCACGGGAAGGCACCAGCGCTATCAGCTGTTAAACATAGGACCCTCGGTCAATGGATTACGTAAACATGATGACATTTCATTATGCATTCCATATTTTTTTTCGTCACCTGCTGCCACGGACTCCGCATCCACTTCAAAATGCGTTTTTAGGCCGCTGCCGCAGCCGTCGCGATCGCCACCGCTATCGCCGCTGCCGCCGCAGACCCCGCGTTCACTCCAAAATGCGCCGTGGTACTAACGCAAACAAGTTTTTAAAGAAAAAAAAAAATATACATATATATAATAA